CAAGTGACTGGAAAGTATATGAGAGGCGGTTAGGAGTTGCCTCCAAAAAATAAGCTCCATGTCCACTCTGGGAGAGCCTGGCAAGCTACCCGTGGGTATACCCAGCCCCCACGTTCAGAGCCCAGCAAGCTATACGTGGGTATCAAAAAATGCTAAACACAGTAAAAAGAACGGGCCTCATTTCCCTGACCCCGAAAGAGCTCCCAATTTCGCAGCGTTTTGTAGGACGAGTACGGAGAGACTGCTAAAATCTCAAAACCAATGGAAGCTGCTGGATCACGAAGAACTATGGTGGCGATCTGTACCTACAATGCACGTACACTTGCATCGGAGACCTGAATAGAAGACTTGCTCATGCAAGCAAAAAGGATAAAGTACGATACCAACGGCCTGGCCGCGAGAAGACGCCAGCCTTTCAACGCCGTCTATGACACCGAAGAAGAACTGTTCCTCGGAACATGCGACAGTAGAAGAGTCGGCGGCGTCGGCGTTCTCGTTGCCACGAGACTGTCCATGAACATCGATTCATTCGAACAACTTAAAACCCGAATCGGACGTTTATGATTAAAAAGGCGTGGAGCAATTCCGGCTTTGACAATCTTCGTCGTTTACGCGCCGACATCAAACTATGACGAAGAAGAAGTCGACGCGTTCTATATGGACTTGGAGAAGTTCTACAGAGAAGACCACACATTCTTCGAAGTCATCACTGGAGGTTTCAATGCCAACATTGGACCAAGAAGAACATCTGAGGAACGTCACATTGGGACCCACGGATTAGAATGGAACGAACTGGGTGATCAGCTATCTGAGTTTACCATGGCAACCAAGACAATCCAGGGTAACTCGCAATTCCAGAAGCCCAACTCTAAGCGCTGGACGTTGGAGTCTCCAATGAAGAGCACCATAACGAAATAGACCACATCATACTAAATAGAAGCTTTTGCCTAACCGATATCGCTATTGTACCAAAATGCTACACGTGACCAGACCATCGTCTCTTTCCTGCAAGATTCTATTTATCGCCGGAAGGAGAAAAAGCCGCTAACTCCCACGACCGACTTTCTATTAACCTCGGCATTGATCAAGTAATTCTTCGTATTTTTGTTGAGCAAACGCGAGGTGTTCTCGCGTTTGCTCAACAAAAATACGAAGAAAAGCCGCTAAATTCCAAAACCGAAGTCCCAGAACCACCGCAAACTGGGACTTATTCCATTTATTTGCCTGTTATTGGGAAGATGCCGTTGTCGATAACATCGACAAAGAATACGGTTGGCTCGTTCAACATCTTTACGTTACCACTATGAAAGCTGAGAGTTCGAAAATCACCAAGAGAGATTTGTCTCCAGAAACACTCGAGCTGATACGCCAGCGTGGAATCGTACGAGCTGCAGGCAACCGCGAACTAACGTCCGAGCTTGCAAAACAATGCAGACAGGCGATAAAAGATCTTAAAGACAGAAGAGCAGCAGTAATGGTCGGAGGTGCAGAGGCTGCGAAAACCATTCGCAAAGCCCACCAAAGCTTCGCCAATTACAGGACCAAAATGATTGCCCTCCGACGCCCCAGACGGAACAGTTACAGCGTCCAGAAAGGCAATGGAGAAATTCATTCACGAATACTACTCGGATCTCTTCGATAGCCACGTCAACCTTCCGTCGTGTGAAATAAAAGTGGATGGATATGTTATACCACCGGCTCTCCCTTTCGAAATCCGACAAACTTTTTCGTCGGTGAAAAATCGAATAGATCCAGGTCCGGACAGGATAAGACCAGAACACCTGAAGAACTTTCCTCCAGCCCTCGTAAACACACTGGCTCGGCTCTTCACACGTTAGCTGTCTGAATGCAAGGTCCCTGCTCAGTGGAAGACCAGCAAGACCTTGTTATTGTTCAAGAAGGATGGCCTGCACGATATCGGCAGCTATCGTCCAATCTGCTTACTGTCTGTGGTCTACAAACTTTTCACTCGAGTCATCCTAAACAGGATTGACAGAACGCTAGATTAAGAGCAGCCATGCGAACAAGTAGGGTTTCGAAAAGGATTTAGTGCGATGGACTACATCCACACCATAATAAGACTCACCGAGCTGTCACCAAAGCACGAAAACCGCTCTGTCTCACTTTCATCGATTTACGGAGGGTCTTTGATTCAATTAAGGTAGAAGCAGTCATAGAAGCCCTAGATAGTCAAGAAGTCCCACTCAGTACATCAAGATTCTTCGTGAGCTGTACAAAAATTTCACAACCAAGCTATCACCATTCTACAACGATATTAACATTGACCTCAAAAGAGGAGTTAAGCAAGGCGATACCCTCTCGCCAAAATTATTTACCGCCACCTTCAAAAACGTCATGTGAACATTGGAACGGAATAATATGGGATTGAAAATCGACTGTCAGTAGTTACACCATCTTCGCTTCGCTTATGAAATCGTCCTTATAACACCAAACATTAGTCAAGCGGAACGTATGCTTGACGACTTTGATAAAGCTTGTGAAAGATTGGTGTTCGACTAAATCTAACAAAAACGATGTTCATGAAGAACGGATTGGTTTCGCATGCCCCATTCACGCTCAACGGAACGAACGTCTCCGAATGCTCCAGTTATATATATCTAGGTTGGTAAATCAATATGATAAACGACTTAGCTTCAGAGCTCAGCAGAGGAAAGCGATCGGCTTGGAGAGCTATCAAGAGCATCGAAGATGTAGTGAAGAGAAAAAAGAACAACCGACTCCGTGCCCAGTTTTTCAACTCAACGGTACTTCCTGCCTTAACGTATGCGTCAGAAACCTGCTCGCTGCGTAAGTAGGATGAAAGGTCACTCAGCGTTGTAGAACGCGCAGTCGAAAAGAAGATGATAGAAGTATCCTGTTCCCCACAAGTAAGGCATAGGATCCGAAGCTCCGATCTGCGTCAACGATCAAAAATTAAAGATGCCGTTCTGCACGCCAAAGAGTCGAGGATAAGGTGGGCCGGACACGTAATGCGTATGAATGACAACCATTTACAAGCGCTGTTAATGACTGGATTCCTCGGGATGTCAAACGTACTGCAGGGAGGCCACCGACCCGATGGCCAGAGTTCTTCACAAAGAGCCTTGAAGGAAGATATGATGCTCGTCGAGTCCACAGTTGGCCTCCATTTATGACTGGAAGACTTATAGACAACAAAACGGCGAGTCGAAATCACAATGTTGCCTTTTAATTTACTGTCTACTACAATTTTTTACGGCAAGTTGTTATGTGAATACCACAATAGGGCTGAGACATTTGCAAAACTGGGTACCGCAGGTTTCTATGGTGAGGATCGAACGCGCTATTACCATTTCCGGGAGCTAATAGGTTCACCACCACACCATGCGTTTCCTTCGGTTCGCCTTCTTCTCAGCTGGTTTTTCTATATAGCCTCCGGAAAGCTAATAGCGTGTTTGATCTCCACCGCAGACTCCTGCGATCCAGAGTTTGAAACGGTGAATGTTTAAAAAAGTGCTCGTCATGCGATTGAAATTTGGATATTGAGTTTTTCTATTGAGATTACAGATGCGTTTGCCTGAGTATACTACGTGTCAATTTGACCCTTCAATTTCTGAAGAAGGGACAACCACAGAGATATTAGCCACTGTTGAATAAATTTCGCACTAAGATCCTCGTGCCTTCTCCAGAATAAAACATTAACTTATTGGTCAATGCCGGGGTCAATAGAAAGTCCGTCCTCGGAATTATTACTGACAAAAAGCCCTTCCTACAAAGTCTTTAGATGTTCCAAATCCATTTTCCAAAGTATACCTTCTTCTGAAATAGCTTCCAGACGGAACATTTTTTAAAAAAAAAAGTGGAACACAGATCCTGATTTAACTGAGACCTCCGACCTCTCATTACATTTCACTAGGAATTCAAAGACAACCAATATTTCTTAACAGCAAACAATTAGATTTCTTCAAACGAACTCAACAAAGAAAGAGCCTTCACAATAGAAGGAAAAACAACTGCAACAGGACTCACCGGGCCGTTGGTGGTAATTCCTTAATGAGCATAGGGCGGCGACCTGCGAAGCTCATTCTGCGTTAAGCAACCCAAGAAATCTGGAATAAACCATCAAATCATATTGGCAAGAACGTTGAAAGGTAGATGAAGAGCCAAACGATACTTTCTCACATGCAGCAGTAAAATAAGGAAAATAGTAAAAGCAAGAGCAAAAACTTGGACGGTTCGTCCTCACTGGTTGTGCGGGCCCCAGCATCATCTCCAATTTTCGGAGCTTTGCTGGTTTAGCCATTGTGCCTTCTTGGAGTCCCGAGACCAACTTGGCCAAAGTCTACCCCACATCGTTACCACTACAGCTAGTTACCGTCCTTGCGGATCAGAGGAAGATTTGCCGCCAAGCGACTTTGATACCAGGACGGTGGTGGATCCTGGTTTTAGTTTATTCTTAGCTGGGTTTCCCAACGGAAACGCTGGATTCCTCAGCTCGCGAAGTCCTGCTGGGGCTATGAATACTACGGCTGTACATCGCAACCCGACATCCATGGACAACTCCTAGCGACGATGAGGCAGTGAACCGTTGGTAGGGAATTCTGAATTGCAGAAAGAAATTGCTCGTTTTGATAGAAATAGTTTTACTCTAATGGCTTTTATTGTGACCATTAAAGGTGTGTTTGAGCAAAGTTCTAGCAGTCTGGATTTGTAGTTCATAATAGGCTATTATTTTTTTATCAACCTAATAACTATTATTATATGCCTATATTTGTGCCTTTTATTATTTATCCACTGAGTTTAAACTTCCGTAGTTGTGAATAGGGTTAATGTGAGCATCACATTTAGATGTGTCCTGCGGAGACTCCAGAGGGTCAAGCAGTGGGTTTAATGAAGAATCTAGCATTGATGGCGTATATCTCAGTTGGCTCGTTGCCGGATCCAATTCTAGAATTTTTGGAGGAGTGGTCGATGGAAAACTTAGAAGGCAATATTCCTGCGACTACAGAAGTACCTAGATTATGTGTAGAATACTACAAAACTGTTGTTATTTAGAAGTGGCGCCATCTTCGATTTGTAACGCTACAAAGATTTTTGTGAACGGCGCTTGGGTGGGAATTCATCGTGACCCAGAACACCTTATGACAACGCTTAAGAAAGTTCGAAGGGGAAAGGACATCATTGTGTCAGAGGTCGGAGATTTACCACTTTCGAGTGGACCAGTGCTTTTGTGCGAACGAGCTTCCTTAAGGTGTCGATGGTACGAGACATAAGAGATCGAGAAATTCGTATTTACACTGATGCAGGCCGTGTTTGTCGACCATTATTAATCGTAGAAAATCAGAAACTTGCATTGAAAAATAGTCATATCGATAAGTTGAGGGTGAGTTTGGTTTTTACCCAATTTTTCGTTGTTACGTTTTAAAGTGGATCGACCGTCCTCAAGTAAACAAATTGCGAGTTATGTAGTGATTGTTCACATTCATTTTCTAGGAACATGAATTAGGGTCTAATTATAGCTGGTCAGATCTCGTTGAAGGTGGGGTAGTTGAACTGATCGATGCAATGGAAGAAGGTTGGTAACTAGGATTTCCTTTCCAGACGGTGAATTCTTTGTACATATTTTACAGCTTCGTTTGTACTTGTTTAGAAACGGTGATGCTGGCTATGACACCCGAGGACCTAAAAGTTGGAGTCTATTGCGACACTTACACTCATTGTGAGATCCATCCTGCAATGATCCTTGGAGTGTGTGCTTCTATCATTCCATTCCCTGATCATAATCAAAGCCCAAGAAATACGTACCAAGTACGTCATTTAACTAGTGAACACAATGATTGCAAAACAATAATACAACTACGATGATGATGAGATATTTTCAAAACTCCGGCCGCAGGTGTTTGCGGTGGGGATCAAGAACCAGTATCACCCTTTCTGGGGTCTAACGTGTTCACCACCACACCAAGCGTGTCCTTCGCAAACAATACTGTGTTTGATTTTTTATCAACACTAAAAGTTACAGACAAGCGGATTCGTAATGCCATAAAGACAAGTGCGGTTTTTTTTTAACAAGGAAAGGCAATTCGTTTCTTTTCAGAGCGCTATGGGTAAACAAGCTATGGGTGTGTATACAACAAATTTCCACGCTCGTTTGGATACGCTTGCTCATGTGTTGTATTACCCACAGAAACCTTTGGTCACTACTAACTCGATGGAATATCTAAGGTGAAATCACCTTTTTACTCTCTAATCGGTGCCTTATTTCCAAATTTGAGCTCGTTTCATTGTTGTTAGCTTATCTGTATTGTAATGATGGCTCTTGTCATTTCTAACACCATAACCTAACCGAAGAACAATATTTTCGTCTAAGATAGTCATCACTAAGCCTAACATACCGTTGTTTCAATAGTGCGCAGTTTTGTGAATTTAACCTTCGTAAAAGTCCAAAATTCTGGAGATGATAGATCCTTCCAAGAAATTTTATCCCGTTCCGATTGTTTCCTCAGGCGGTGAGAAAGAAATTTGAAACAATCCTGTCGTTGATGAGCAGGCCATAAGATCGCTGTGAGGTTTTTTCTCTCCCATATATTTACTCTTAATGTGGATATCGCAGGTTCAACGAGCTTCCTGCCGGTATAAATGCTATCGTAGCCATTTTATCTTATTCTGGTTACAACCAAGAAGATTCTGTGATTATGAATCAGTCGGCTATAGATAGAGGGCTGTTCAGATCAGTGAGCTTTGGAATTAACTTTGTGTACTTCTGTTTACTTAACGTTTTATCACCTTTTCTTTTACCGGTTTTCTATCGTTCCTATCGCGATCAAGAGTCCAACGTTGATGTAGATAATGAGGAATCCATCGAGAAACCCACTCCTGAAAATTGCTCTGGAATGAGACGGTGTCTCTATGACAAGGTATTGCTAGTTTAACAGCTCCTAGCAAGCCTCACCTAGATAATACCATTTTCAGTTGGATGAGGACGGCATTATCTCTCCTGGAATGCGTGTTTCTGGGGACGATGTTATCATTGGGAAAACTATTGCGTTTCCTGAAGTGGTGTGTTACATTGCTTTCTTCTATTGGCAATTTTTCTACTTCTTATATAATTAGGACAACGATTTGGATGCGAGTAGTAGGAGGTACATTAAACGAGATGCATCAACATTCCTTAGACCCTCTGAGACTGGTGTGGTTGATCAGGTGAGCTATCCTAACATGTTTTTTCTTCGCTTAACGTATAAATCACAGAAGTAATTTCTTTTAAAAGAAGGATAAAGCTCTCGACATTGATCAATCTTTGAGGGATGCGCAATGCGTTCGACTTCATTAAGTATTGTTTTGAGGTGATTAAATGCATATCTGGCCCTTACAATAACTCGCGGTGGTCCACCGATGTATCGAGCTAGTGCTGCTATCCTCTCAGACAAGGCTGATGCCAATCTGTCGACCCCGGAGAGATGGAAGGCTTGGTGGCCCATGAGCGAGGGTATCGATTCCACGTGTGTCTTGCAGTGCGGCTCCGAGCACTGCGCCACACGTACCATTTTCTTTTTAAACTAACGGTAATTCCTTCATCACTATAGTACTTAGGGAGTTTAGGACTTCACAGATTCATAGAACGCCTCTGCCTTAACCGCAGGAATAATTGTTGTAAAATAAGCTTTCGATTTTCAATATGTTTAACTTTGAAATTCTCAAAACAATTAGGCACGAAATTGAAACTTCTGAAGCTCCCACGCAAGCGCCCACTTGGGCAACACAACGCTGAACTCGGGAGCACCATTGTGTCCGGCTGAACGATAGACTGCTTCTCTTAGACACTCGCAACAGTAGGCCTTAGGCGGCCCTGTGGCTTGTGGTGCCTAATTTTCCGCCTTCACGGATTTGCTTGTTCTCTGACAATGAACAATAAATTCTCGATAACTAGAGTTCAAGAGGAGGTTGGGCAGAGTAACAGGAAAGACTTTGTTCCAGCGTTCTGTGGTATGAATTGCTATTATTTACTACGTGTTGCTGTGGTCCGTCAACGAAACACATCGCTGTTAAAATTTGGGTTTTGCACTTCATGTTGGGTATATTTCGGTACTTTTTACATCCGTACATTCTGCACAAAAACTTGGCGAACGATTAAAGTGAAATAATAATTATTTTATAGTCAAATTATCGCTCAATCTGCTTGTCCGAAAGAAAGCTTTTTATAAATCATCAACTGTAGAGGGTGGTATTTCTGGTCTGACTATCCTACACAGTACACACAGTGCGACAAAAAGTTCTCTGTGTCACTGACCTGATGATGGGCACTATGCGTTCAAATCGTCCACTCACATCGCCACCTTCGGACGTGTACACGTGCACATTATCGCAAATCTATTAGCTGGGTTCGTTTTCAAATCAGGAGCCTCAGCGACAACAAAAACCTGGAAAAATATCCATTGTGGGCTCTTGACAGTCGTTCTTTCATTGTACTGGAATAGAAAAGTAGTTTGCCTTAGAGAAGTCCGTAGACGGTCATTGTTTTAATTCAATTAGTAAAGTCCAATATGAACTGACATGTTTGGGTCAAAATTTGAGAACGGTCATTATTATGTGACGAACGCCTATTATAATCAGTCCACGTCGAACCTTATGTGTTGTGAGAACGCTTTGCTATCAGGTGATGGTGTCGTTAAACGCCGATGGTAATAAATTTGTAAAAGTTCGCGTGCGATCGGTGAGAACGCCTCAAGTTGGAGACAAGTTCGCATCGCGGCATGGGCAAAAAGGAACCATGGGTATCATGTACAGACAGGTACTACTTGAAGGTTATCTACACTGTTATGAAAATTCATGTTTCAACTTTATTTGCTGTGTTTTATCAGTCCTCGCTCTTTCTGTATGCCCGATCTGTTTATTCCTTCGTCGTTCCAATTTATTACAAAACCGAGGATTTACAGGAAGATATGCCATTCACTTGCGAGGGTTTAACACCAGATATAATTATTAATCCACACGCTGTTCCATCTCGCATGACTATTGGTCATTTGATTGAATGTCTGCAAGGAAAGGTTCGCTTCAGTTTGAGTATTCGTACTTTCTATCTGTCTCATGTATCTGGTAGGTACACTCCTGTAATGCAACACTCAGCAACACTCATTGTGTGCTTTCAGCTAGCGGCCAATAAAGGAGAGATGGGAGATGCCACTCCATTCAACGACGCTGTCAATGTACAGAAAATAAGTAACCTCTTGCAAGAATATGGTTACCATCTCCGAGGAAATGAGATTATGTACAATGGGTATACGGGAATGAAGTTCACTACTCAGGTTTGTATGTATATATATATATATATATATATATATATACCGGAGTTTTGCAAATATCTCAGCATTTCATACGAGTTATATTTCGCAACATACCCTGCCATTAAGAAGAAAAAGGCAGTAAATAAAAGAGTTAAGATTGTGATTATATATACATATACGTATATATATATACAGGTATAATTGCTTGCCTTTTAGTTTTTGCATTTTTTTCTGTTATTCACTAGTTCAGGTATTCTTTGGCCCTACATATTATCAACGACTGAAACACATGGTGGACGACAAAATCCATTCGCGTGCAAGAGGACCGCTTCAAATAATGAGCAGACAGCCAACGGAGGGTCGGGCCAGGTTGGATAAACCGCATAGCATGTGTTTATGTAATCTTTGACTACCAGTGATCTTAGAATGCCTTTGAAGAAAAAATTTTAATTCTTTGGCAGAAGAAACCCGTATTCCTTTCTGTCAGTGAATTCATTGTCAACACAGACATACTTAGAAGTTCGTCGCAAAAGGGGTGATGATTGCCAAAAGCAGCGGGAATTCACGAGCGTTGGGCTATCGAACTTGGGTTATAGTAAGCAGCAATTTCAATTTGACGAAAACGTTGGTCTTTCCTGCTTATTTATAAATTTTCATAGCATTCAGTCCAGTGGCGATGAAAATTGCAGAGATAGCGTAACAATTGAGTTTCCCTCTTTTTTTTTTTGAAAAATTCATCCTGTGTTAAGTGAGTTGTTACATAGATTTAAAATTATGCTGTTAAATAGAGGAAAATAATTGTTAGTGTTGAAAGATGTTGTGAGTTGAAGAAATAAAAACGAATAAAACTTAACCAAGAAGTTATCCATCTGATTTCGGAGACTACAGCTAAATAACTGTGATACTGACCCCGATGGTAGAACTTGGGAAATTCTCTGTCTACATTCAGGCCGATATTAGGGAAAATTTATAGGCTTAGTAGTTTTTCCATCTTCCTCATGAATGCCGTAGAATGCTGGTCGATCCCACATGTATTGGAGGAGAGCACTGGAGAGGTATCGAACCAAAACTTTAATTTCTGATGGGCTGCGTCACTAAGCCCTGCGCTACCCCACCAATCCGTTGTGGTTTTCTCTAGAAAGCCAAGACTTTTGCCTGCGAAACCCAAACTCCAGTACGCGATGTTGTTGCGTTTGACCGAAACCACAAAAATAACTATACAAGATTTTAAGTTAATTGTTATTTCAAGAAGAAAACGTGCGATAACATTTTGAACGACAAATTTCCGCCAACCGTTTGAAATCCCGAAGGTAATTTAGTTAGGACTTCGAGCAAGAAATCGGTAAAACCGGAAAGAAATAAACAACTCAATGAACGTCTCTAAGAATCCAAATAGTGAACTACCATGTCGTGGTTTTTACAAAGAGTCAAGCATGGAATTTCTACTTATTGTTGTTTAGTGCTAACTGACTGCGTTTTCTTAAGAGATGGAGGTCTACGATTTGGCGAAATGGAACGCGATTGCCAGATTTCCCACGGAGCTGCACAATTTCTGCGTGAGCGCCTTTTCGAAGTCTCGGATCCTTACCATGTTTATGTTTGCAATAATTGTGGGCTCCTCGTTATTGCGAACCTTCGAACCAATAGCTTCGAATGCAAGGTGATCCTTCTGAAGCAATTTGATTCCGACTAGCCGTTTGTCAATGTTATTCTAGGCTTGCCATAACAGAACACAAGTATCGGCAGTCCGCATACCGTTTGCTTGCAAATTGTTGTTCCAAGAACTCATGGGAATGTCGATCGCTCCACGACTGGTGCTGGATTCTTGAACTGAATACGTCACATGCAATTGACCCAGATGCTCATCTCGTCCGAACATGTACGAGCTGGTCACAATTTGTATTTTTTTGCAATTATTTTTATAAGTGGCGGTTCTAGCACTTTCATCTTTCTATTGTTCCTTGTTCAAGTTTCTTTTTGTTGTTCCTTGTTGAATTTTATCCTTGTTGTTCCAATTCTTGTTCAGCTGTTACTGGTAAGGTGCGTCCTACCTCGTGTGTTCGTGTTTTTGATCTTGATAGTCCCTTAATGTTCAATTCTGTTCTCACAGAAAGTGAATGATGAGCTTGTGTTATCGAAGTTAGAATTGGTGTACCCAAAACACGATCAGTTTCGTTGGATGTTCTCTTGGAATCGACTTTTAAAAACTCTAAAGGACGATAAACAATTCGGAGTAAGTTACCTATGGTTGCTCTTACTATTGACTATTTCGCCCACTGATGTCTTCCACTCCTTCTAAGAGTTTATCCGTTTCGCTAGCGCTCATCGTGAGTTCGTTCCATTTTGCAAACTTCAGTGAACGGCAGCTAATTCGATACTATGCATAGTGCTGTGTCATGAAAGAGGTGATAAAAATCGTAGAGACGAGATCCAGACTTAAGTCCACATTGTTTCTGGTCTCTTCTACAGGATGGTTGTTGACCGAGTGATTTGGGCATGCTCCACAACTCAGAATTCTACTCTATGCGACTGCGAAGACCCATATCGCAGTAATCGACGGACGCAACTAACTTGGCACTTTAGAGATTAATCCCTATCTCTCCTATAAAAAGTGCTCTCTGCTTCTATATAATCTCATAAGGTTTCTCTATCATTATATTCCACAAATTCAAATTGCTCGCTGCAAAACGCAGCGTAACGGCTGGCTCATGTTCTTATCTCACTGCCGGCTGGAAAATGCTTACATTGTTTTGCGTGTTCATAAAGCCACAATGGCAAAAAAAACTCGTTGGGAATGGTCAGTCCTGCTGCAGCGACACTTGACTTCACTTGGCATTCAGAAATCACACTTGGTATAAATTCTGCTTCGTGTTCATTCCAGCTCAGCCATCTGTCCTGCAGAATCGTAGTTTTACACCATCAGTGCAATAAAGCTAGTCTTTAATCCCTGCCTACACGCTATACATTATTATGCTCGTTGTGTTATTACTGTTGCAATATCTATAGGATGGCTTAATTGGCCTAGTTTGACACTCGACATAACACATCGCATGCATCTCTACGCAACTCCATTATAAACATCAGTACATTGTCGACTTTAGCCGAAGTCGCTGCAGGAAACACCATGTTGGTCACGTTCAGCTCATTTCCTGGACACATCTGGAGTTAATCTACGTGGATATTGTTCTTGCACAACCTAGAAGAATTTCTGCTCTTCGGTCAAATGCTCTATTGATTCCCAGTTTTTAGAAGAGCACAAGTTATACGTTATCGTACCTGCAGCACAAAAACAAAAAGTCTTTCTATCGAGTTCTTGGTATAACCATAGGAAAAGTGGTTAGACATGGCACATAAAATTGCGAAAGCTGTTCACTCGCATTGCAGTGGGGTCGTGAAGTCACTTGATTGGATTGAGAAAGGTATCTATAGAAAATTTCTAAGCTTTTTTTGCTGATGACAGCTTCATTTTCTTAAGAAATACCAATGAATTAGAAAAGTCGATCGATGAGCCAAATGAAGCCGGAAAAAATACCGGACTATTCACCTCGTTGTGTATCTAGTACATCCAGTTAATATGGAGAACAATGTGAAGGAGAAATTGGAGAGAAAGCAGGAGGCATAGCCTCATTCGGGCGTATCACAGAAACCGCAGATCAACTAGCGGATCCGAACTGCACGCCAATATTTACAACTTAACGGTCCTCTAAGCGCTATGTTATGCAGCAGAGACGTGAATTGATACTTCAAACACATCAAGCACTCTGCGTACGATCTACAGAGCGCTTGAACGATATTTTCCGGAACTTAACACACACTCACAACGTCCAGTGGGAATGCATAGCTCAGATCTTCGAAATCTATTCTACATTCGAGATCCAGAAGAATAAACACGGTAATGAAGTACAGATGTGCAGCTCGCATGGAAGGAAGAACAGATTACAGGTAGACGAAAGGAATAGTGTAGCGGACTCCAACAGAATTCAGCCGTTCTCTTGAATGATTCTGCAAACGATGGGCAGATGTATTCGTGGCTAACGTTAGCCATCTGAATTTGCAGATGAGAGCGATTTTAGGACTACGGAATGAACCTCAAACACGCCACCACGTTCGAATCGAACTACCATGGTTGACGACGACTATAAAACGAAGAAAGAAATGGAGAATATGTCCGAACAACTAAAGACGGGATGTGCAAGCATCCAGGTAAGTAAATATAGTGAAGAAAATGCGAATAGCAGTGCCAGAAACGTAAGCACAGGTAGAAAAACAACTAGAATAAATGGTTTTTTCCATTAGGGAGCAACAAGAATGAGAAAATTATATGGACAACACAAAAGCTAGCACTTAATTGAGCATTCTAAAAATGAGTGAAGAGAAGAAGAAATCCTGAAAGCTTACCAAATTTGAAGGCTATAAATGACCGTGAGGTCAATATTACTGATTTATGTGTTAAAAAATCAATAAAAGAAACTGGAGTTTGTAATGGCTCGCTCCGATCCCGAGCGAATCCCACGCGTATTTTCTGGACATTTACGCCGAGGGTCAAATTTCGAAAATCAAAGCGGTATCTCGGTTCATTAGAATACTGCGATGTTGCTATTGGTCTCTTTGTCTGTCGTGATTCCGCCTCAAGCCTTAGAAATTTAAATCTTATTCTCATTCCTTTCAGAAATTCGAACTATAGACAACTTTAAAAATTGGATTTTGGAATAACTTCAGTCAATGAAAAGTAATGTTCAGCGTTCATCAGTTTCCAATAGTAAGTCGTTAGTTACCGACCCATTAAGAATCCTAAAGATGACTGAACATATACTTAATGGATATAATCACTTCCCTATACATGCCTATAGGTGTCTGTCTGACTTCAGTACTTTTTTCGTCCCAGACACATTTAGTATAAAACACTCAGTAAACATTTCTTAAAAAATCTGTTTCTTGCACATTCGCGTAAATCATCTTCCGAGAAAGAAAGGCACAAAGATGCTTTCCTGATTCGAAAACTTCTAAGACGAAATCCCAACCAGCTTTTCGTTCGCTTCCAAGTAAGGATAGTCATTTGTTATTAGTTATGACATCGAATGACCATAGAATATGGAGACTTTTACGGGACCTCGATTTTTAAACTGTTTCAAATCTTAAAGAGTCAAATATGCTTCAGTACAGGTATTAATGCAAGTGTTGAAGAATCAAAAAGCGCATCACTTGTAAAAATACGGTTCTGATCATCCCACCACGCCATGGGTAACCTCAAGGTTGGTAGTAAATTGAGAATCCGACTCTCTGGAATGTAGTTCGACGTAAGTAATCTACCTGTGGATCTTCGTTTCCAAATGAAGTTTTCTTGTTTTCATGACAATTTTTCTGATTTGGTCAAACAAAATAAGTGACTCCAACGGGACTGAGCGAACTGATCTGGATCTCAAACCAAACCAGCATTTCATACTTTTTTATTTGTTTTATGATAATGTTGCACTAGAACATTTGTATCATTCCGTGGCTCGTTGAGAAACTTCATGAGTGGTAGTATACCTGCTCGAAGGGAACAGCACCATCACATTTTCCTTTCATGACCATCGCGAAAAGGTCGGTGCATTGGACCCCAGACTCCTTTTGTGCTCATCATATCCATTCCATAGAACAACTAAATTGTAACGAAGTGTTTGCTTCTAAATGCGCTATGTATCGAACCCACTTTACCTTTGACATCTAGGCATTTACGGTAACGCCATTAATCAGTGACCGTCAAAGCCACATATGGAAGACTTCCTCCAACATTTTTATGGTCAGGAATAATTCTAACATCTCTCCATCTCGCTTCCTCTTCAAAATACCTTTTTAAAACATTACAGTCTGAAAGTCGACTTATCCAAAGCTGAACTTCTACGTTGTTAACAACTAGGCCCTTCAACATCTTTGTTATGATATTACCAGAACCTGATACTACGAAATAGTTCATCAACACAAGATCTCAAGAAATGATGGAAATGGTGCAATTGTTTGTACATAGAAATTTGAGACAATAGCAACAACGATTAGGTCGATGTTGGACAACAGAGAAAGAACTGTCAAAAATGTATAATATCTTCTCGACAGTTGACGTGCGTTCCAAGTCGATAGTGCTTCTACGGAATTAAGGATTCATAGAGCGCCTGTGGCCTAGCGGTCGAAGGCACCCTGCAACACACACACAGAATGGATTCCGCATCTCTGGTCCACCAAGCCCTCCATCTCTCCGGAGTCACCACATAGGTACAAGACTTCTCTGAGACGACGCAGCACTGACTCGATACATCGGTAGACCACCGCGAGTCATTGTAAAGGCCAGGTATGCATTCAATCACCTCTAAACGATGCTTAATGAAGTCGAATGTATGGCGCCTCCCTAAGGGATTGAGAACGCCGAGTGTTTACCCATTATCCTTCAACGTTTCATTGCAACACTTATTTTGACGAAGACATCAAATTCGACAGCTCCTCAGCTGCATGCTCTGAAGAATTCCCCATTTTCATTAACGACACCTATTATATAGTGTCCTCTCGTCTATTTACATCTCAAGAAATCGCACTCCTCAATCGTCTTCTTCAAGTAGTGCCTCCGACAGCAGTGTGCCTTCGATGCAAGTATAGACAGTCCCCATAGTTTTTCTCGTTCTCTAACACTTGCACAGCTCATTAAGCTCTTCTTATGAGGTGCACAAGTGGTAAAGATGGGAAAAATTAACGAATCATTTCAGTGTAATGTCTTCAGTTAAACTTTCCAATGTATTAAATAATGATAGCATTACACAGCCAGTTTATCCTACATAGGCGACAGGTCAGAATCAGCTCA